GGAGGAGGAGATCCCTGTCGTGTTTTGGTCCTAAACGTGGTTTTAGGGAGCCCTGGTCACCCCTTCTCTCTCTCTATGGACTTCTCCAGGGTGTGCTGTTTGGTGGACACCCTTGTTGTGGGTCTCTCTGCAAAGGACCTGGGGGGGGACCCTTCTTTCTCCACTGCAAAAGCATCCAGGGGGTCTCTCTGGTGGGTTTCCCTGCTGAGGCTGGAGCCCAGCTGGCTGGCAGGCAGCGTGGCATTCTCCTTGCTCTGCATTTTTTTTTTATTTTGGTTTTTTTTTCTTTTTTTTTTTTTTTTTTTTTTTCTGGCTGTCAGTGTCAGCCGCGTCTCTCCAACACGCCTGTTGCTCTGACAAGTTCCCAGGGGTGTGGAGAACTTGCCCCCCAAAACGTCTGTCCCCCTTCCTCGCTGGCAAGGAACCCCCCCCCAAAACAAGACCACCCGCAGAGAGCTGCTCTCCCTGCCCTGCCAGCGCTGCCTCCTGTAAAGCCAGGCTGTAATAAAGCAGCTCTTCTCTCTGTGAAAACAAGCTGGAGTGAGCGTGCTGGGCTGGTGGGCATAATGGTGGCATTAGCTCTGAAAAGAAGAAAGCGTCGGGGGTCAGGCCTGGAGGCTGCTGGCATTGGGGTTTTTTGTGCTCTGCATCAACCAAATGAGTGGCACGATGCGTGTGTGCTGGGGGTTGGAGAAGGGCCTGAAGGGGAAGCCCTTTGAACAAGCATCAGGCAGAAAAAAAAAAAAAGTTGGTCCCTCTGGATGAGATTTGATGAAAGGGCAAGTGCCTTCGGACCGGACCCGCAAGGAAATAGGATTAATTTCCTCCTCAGTGGTTATGGGGCAGCGTGGAGATCTGCAGCGTGTGCTAACACACCGAGCTGAAGCCTGGTAAATGCAAGCAGAGTCTTGTTTTCCAGCCTCACGAGGCATTGACAGGGCACCTGGGTCATGGAAACCGGTTCCCGTGATCCTGAAAAGATTCCCTTGGTGCAAACATCAGGCCATCAGATAATTGGTCAGTTATTGTCAGCGGGGACACATCAGTGGGGGCACTCTGGGATCCCAAAGTGCATTTGTGCATCTTTTCCTCCCTGGAGAAGATGCATCAATGGGACATGACTTGTCCAAAAGCCTGATGCAGAGAAGGAAGGGAGGCAGGAATAGAAGGAGGGTACCTGGTTCACCAGCTGGCACCTGATCCATGAAACTTCATCTGCGTGAGGCACCCAGCTCAGTTTGCTGATTTTTAGACTCTTGGTCATGCCGCTTCTATTCTGTGCAAGTTTGGGTTCCCATTTTCCAGGTGGGACCACTTCTGATGGGAGATTTTGCAGATTTCACAGATTTGTTTCCGAGAGCCCAGACTTACTAATGCAGGAAAATATTGGTACCACGTCCAAATGAGGGCAATTAGCAAATGAGTAGTGGAAGAGCCTCGCCAGCAATGGCTGGGAGTTCCTCCTCTCTTACCCTGCTTGGAAAAGAGAGGAAATTTTCTAACTAAAGAACAGGACTCTGGAGATCTGATCCTGCCACAGGGTCTGTCTGACCTTGGACATGTCACCGTATCCCCATGTCTGCGTCTCCCCCCATCTGTTAACACTTGACCTTGCTTTGTTCTCAGAGGTTTGCTCCTGAGATGTGGGGAGCTTTGGGATGCTGGGATGGGAGCACTAAGATGCTTGTCTGGGTGCCATGAGGGCCCCTTTCACTGAACAAGCCCTCTTTGTGGTCCCTTGAATGGACCCTTCAGACAGGCCTGGCTGGCGAGCGAGTGACAATGGGCAAAGTGATGGTGTCACATATTCAGATGGTACAGGTGACTGAAATGCAGCTGATGGGCCCAGCTGCTTTTTATTGCCTTCCCAACTGCCAGCTTTAAGCCTTTAAAACCTCGATAGGACAAGGGGAAACGGTTTTAAATTGGAAGAAAAAAGATTCAGATTAGATCTCAGGAAGAAATTTTTTACTCTGAGGGTGGTGAGACACTGGAACAGGTTGCCCAGGGAAGTTGTGGCTGCCCCATCTCTGGAGGTGTCCAAGGCCAGGCTGGATGGGGTCTTGAGCAACCTGCTCTAGTGGGAGATGTCCCTGCCCAGGGCAGGGGGGCTGTAACTCGATGATCTTTGAGGTCCCTTCCAACCCAAACCATTCTGTGATTCTATGATTTAGCTGCTGCCTCCCGTACGCCCTTCCAACCCAAACCATTCTATGATTTAGCTGCTGCCTCCTGTATGTCTTCATTGCCGTCGTTGGTGGCCTGTTTGTCACACTTGGGCACGGGCTGGGTGACAGCTCTGCGGTGCCAAGAGCGTGGGGGCAGGAGGAGACAGGTTTTGCCTTCTGTTGCTGGCACCGTAACCGCACAAAAAGAGATGGAAGCGGCTTCATTTTGCATATGGGAAAGCAGAGAGACAAAAGGACTTGCTGAAGGGGCTGCAGGGAGCCTGGGGCACCACAGGGAATCACGTTTTGATCTCCCAAGATGATTCAAGGATTGGAGCATCTCCCTTATGAAGAAAGACTGAGGGAGCTGGGACTCTTTAGTCTGGAGAAGAGAAGGCTGAGGGGAGACCTTATCAATGCTGACAAGTATCTCAAGGGAGGGTTGAAGGAGGAGGGAGCCGGACTCTTTCCAGTGGTTCCCAGTGAGAGGACGAGGGGCAACGGGCACAAGTTGGAACAGAAGAGGTTCCACTCAAATATGAGAAAAAACTTCTTCACAGTGAGGGTGGCAGAGCCCTGGAACAGGCTGCCCAGGGAGGGTGTGGAGTCCCCTTCCTTGGAGATTTTCAAGACCCGCCTGGATGCTCCTGAGTAACATGCTCTAGCTCTAGGCAATCCTGCTTCAGCAGGGGAGTTGGACTAGATGATCTCTATAGTCCCTTCCAACTCTAAAAATTCAGTGAAATTCAGTGAAAGTCCATGAGGATCCCTCCGTTCTGAGCTGCACCCCACGGCTTGGTGAGACAGAAACCTGGATATACGCTTTCCATATATTGTGTTTGCATTAAAATATCCACGTTGCAGTTTCCACTGAGGCCATCCCCTTCTGGAGAGAAATGAATGTTTGGTCAATCCTTGTAAACCCTGAGACATTCCTCTGGCTTCCTTACAGACCTGAGGTTTGGGCCAGGAGGCCTGAGAATCTCCAGAAAATCTGGGACACATGTTTGGAGCCATGTCCAAATAATTGTAAGAGTTTCCAGGAGGGTTTGTACTCAGTAAGAGCATCCCGAATTCTCCTCCTGTGCTCAGGGAAATTGAGGCAAATTTAAAAAGAGCTCAGAAAAGATCCCAACCCAGCCTGGAGTGAGTTCCTCTCTGTCTGAGTAGCACACTGGAACCCTGAAAGGTCAACTCTGGTTCATGACACAGTCTCAGTTTACTTCTTTACAGGTAGAAAAACAATGAAAGATCTCTATTTAAAGAAGGCCCTTCAGCTGCTTTCAGCAAACTCTGTCCCTGCAGAGGTCTGACCTGCTGGGTTGGCTTTTCTCTAAATTAACTTGCTTCTGCTGTTTGCGCAGGGAAAACCGATAGCAGAAAGCAACCTGTTGATTAATGTAGATGCAAAAGCCCAGATTACAATCTGGTGAACAATTAACTTTGCAGAGTCGATCTGTAATCAGACCCAGCATCTTCTGCTCTCTCTTTACATTTCTAATCAAGGTTTCTTTTCAGGTAGCGTTTTGCCTGCAGCCGGTGTTGCTCATTTGCTGCTTGTTTGCTCAGTCCCTGGCAATCTCAGCTCCTATCTTTGTCTAGGCAGCCTGGCTGGAAAAGAAACCGGCGTGAAATTATTTTCAAGCCCCAGAGCAGAGGTAGCAAACCTTCAGAGACGGCTGGGGTTCATCTGTGCTTCTGACACCGCTGCAATCTCTCTCTCATCTCTCCTGTTCTCTCTTTCTTTGCCTCCCTCCTTCCGCGCGGCTCATCCTTGCTGTATCTCCAATCACAACTTGAGATCTCTATTCTCTTGCCTTCTGGGTTTCCCTGCTCTTTCAGGGATGAGCTCCAAGCCACCACAATTAAAGGCAGATTTTTTTTTTGCAGGCGGGCTGGGCACGCCACGTTCCCGCTGGGAAATGTCCACACATCTCCAGCCCAGCACCGCCTGCCCGCTGGGCTGAGCTCTGCCAAAAACCTGAGCGTTTTCTTTTCACACCTGAGCAGCAGCTGGGCTCTTGTTGACCCAGAGCAGAGGTAGCAAACCTTCAGAGACGGCTGGGGTTCATCTGTGCTTCTGACACCGCTGCAATCTCTCATCTCTCCTGTTCTCTCTTTCTTTGCCTCCCTCCTTCCGCGCGGCTCATCCTTGCTGTATCTCCAATCACTACTTGAGATCTCTATTCTCTTGCCTTCTGGGTTTCCCTGCTCTTTCAGGGATGAGCTCCAAGCCACCACAATTAAAGGCAGATTTTTTTTTTTGCAGGCGGGCTGGGCACGCCACGTTCCCGCTGGGAAATGTCCACACATCTCCAGCCCAGCACCGCCTGCCCGCTGGGCTGAGCTCTGCCAAAAACCTGAGCGTTTTCTTTTCACACCTGAGCAGCAGCTGGGCTCTTGTTGAAATTCTCACTCGTGTGCTGAATGCATAATGCACCCCCCACAGTTGGAAGCCTCTCTCTCATCTCTCCTGTTCTCTCTTTCTTTGCCTCCCTCCTTCCGCGCGGCTCATCCTTGCTGTATCTCCAATCACAACTTGAGATCTCTATTCTCTTGCCTTCTGGGTTTCCCTGCTCTTTCAGGGATGAGCTCCAAGCCACCACAATTAAAGGCAGATTTTTTTTTTTGCAGGCGGGCTGGGCACGCCACGTTCCCGCTGGGAAA